CAAAAACAGCCTTTCATGTAAAACGCTTTTAAGCTTTACTCCCTGTTGAATTCAGTGAGGACTTACACTTCAAAAGCAACAGCAAATACAATGCCTCAGTGCTTTCATATCAGTAAGTACTACTGAAAGAGATGTTAGAAATTGCAATTGTAAATTATGAAGGCAATGTCCAGTTGTCCAGTATGGGTATATACTGCAAAATATTTATCAGTTGTTACTTTTAGTCTTTCTTGTTTTACCCTTGGAAGTGCTTGTTTGCATGGCTAGTTTGTACTCTTTCAATCCTATTACATTCAGCGCTGTTTCAGATGTGAATAAAGGCTACTCATATGAGTAGGACTTGTTGGATTGAGACCACAGGCTGTCATTCTGTGAAGCAGCTTAGTAGCCTCAGCGTGCTGTGCAGGAAAGTATCATCACCCGTGGCAAAACAGCACTTTCTTTCGTGCCATTTGTGTCACCTGCTTGCCTGCCTCTCCAAGGAAGTGAAGCTTTGAGTGAGATTTGTTTGATTTTTTTTTTTTTTAAGCCAGAATCATTTATTTCATTTATTCTTAATGGAAAGTACTGTGGTGAGATTCATAATATCCCTTGTTTGAGGTTGAAATGGGGGAAAGAAAACCCCTAAGAACTCTTTGGCATTATTTGAAATATTTTTATAAAGGAGTCCTTGACCATTTCAAGGGAGATAGATGATGAGGGGAATGAACTTGTATTTGAAAAGTATTCTCATTATTTTTAAGGTATGGGAGTTGAAGGAAGGAGAAATACAAAACAGAGCTGTAGGCCTCCACTTAGTGCAGGCAGGAGCCTGGTCTCCCTGATACAGCACAAAACTAGCCATTTATTTAACTAAGAGCAGAGCTGAGCACTGACTATCCAAGAAATAGCTATACTGCTTCATTCCTCATGTGCTTTTTCACAAATTATATTTCAGATGCAAAGTGCTGTTTCTTTGAGTTTGAGAACAAGTACACTACTCTGCTTATTATTTTGAAATGCTGAACAGGTCCACATCGATACCTCTTGGCAGTGGGCACCAGTAGTTAAGGTTGTCTTGGAAAGCTTATGTGTTATACATACCAGCTTTGATACATGGAAATCATGAGACTGTCTCCCAACGCATAAAATAATACCTGTTTTGGTTGTAAATGTTCACATTTGGGTTTAGTGATTACTATACAGTGTCTGAAATAATTAGCTTGCTGGTGTTTGATCAGCTCATTCTAGATCAGAGGACAGCCATATTTGAATGGCTATATTGCCTGAATCCATCACTAATTACTGAAACCTTTTGTGCAAGGTTTGTTTAGAGAAAGCTCTCCTTAAACAAAAGAATACCGATATATAGATGAAAGCTGGAAGGGGAGCTGCACAGTTAGCAGCTTCTTTAAGAATTAATCCTCCTTTGCAATCACTTAGTAGCAATATTGCAAGTAGTAGTTGTAATAAGCATCATCACCATAATCATAACAACAACAACAACAACACCACACAACTGTTTCCCAGCCGGCCAATGTTTGGAAATAAGCACTGGAAAATATTCCCGGTGAAAGCCTTTGGAGAAACAACGCCTCCCTGTGCGGGGTCGGTCCTACCAACCAGGGCGCTCCGTAGGTTCTGAGCCAGGACCAGAGAATCTGTCTCCCCGACTTTTAAAATGTAAATCTGTAATGTAAATAAGGATTTGTTTGAGCTGTCTTAGTTCAGAAAGACTCTGGAGAGAGGCAAGAGTGTTGGGTGTTGGATGCTTCGCTGGTCTGTACTCTGCATGCTTTCACTTTGTGAGAGCTGAAGCGCACACCGAAAATGTGGTTTGGAAGCCTGCTTTTTCACTTAGCTCACTTTGGGAGGCTTTGGGTTTTTCAACATATGCTTTAGGATACCCGCTGTCAGTATGCTCTTTTTCTGTGGTGAATCATGTTATCTTCTGTGATATTTTTGTAACACAAAGTGACAGATTTTACAGAAGCATTTACCATAAGGATTAGTCTAGTATTGTCTAGGAACAGCTATATAATATCGATCTTAACCCAAACAGTGTAACAGGTTCAGCACTTCATGCAGAAATCTTAAATAATTTTTGACTGGTTTGAATTGCACTTTATTCCCCCCTCCCAAAAGGAAAAATAATTTAAAAAGGGGACAAATACAGAAGTATTTAAAGAAGTGTTTGTTTTAACTAACAAATACAGTGGAATTTTGTGAAATTAGAAAATTTTGCATTCAGCTATCATTTCTTAATAGAAAATATATATCTGTTATTTAGTGGCATATATCACTGGATATGATATGAGTGCATACAGTATGAGTATGTAGTGGATAAATTTTAACTTTTTTGAAAGGTACAGTTTTGGAAGGTACAGGAAAATAATAAGCTTGAGAGGCTCTCGGAGGCTAGTAAACAGTATTCAGGGCACAGATTTATCACCTTTATCAGACAAAACTCCCCGCTGAAATCTGTAGGGAGTTTTAGCTGAGCAAAGACTGAAAGAACTGACAGGCAATTTTGTCAAAAGCGATTTTATAGTTAATGTTCTGTAAAAACCTCTTTTTTAAAAGGAACCGGAACATCTCAAGATTGCACTTTCCTTTTATTTTCCACTGCCACCTTTTTTCTGTTGAAATGATAAGTCCAGAATTTCTTGGCAATCTCCTTTTCTTTTCTTTTCTTTTCTTTTCTTTTCTTTTCTTTTCTTTTCTTTTCTTTTCTTTTCTTTTCTTTTCTTTTCTTTTCTTTTCTTTT